TGTGGGAAAGGAAGCCTAGGTGATTGTAGTGACTGTGTGCAGTTGCATTTTGAAAACCTCCAGTGATGGGGACTCCACCATCTCCCTGAAGAGGTTGTTCCAGTGAATGATTGTTCTCACTATAGAGTACTTATTTCTTATATCATACTTTCTTTCTACCCTGTGTTATTTTTTTTTTTTTACTTACTTTTACCTGGATATGATTTTTCCTGGTTTTTTAGCTGGAAAAAAAAAATTGAGTGGGTTTCTTAGTTAACAGCATCTTGCTTTGCTGCTTATGGTGGGGATCTGGCACTTTTGCTGCTCTTCAGTAAAATCCACATCTTGATAGTGATGGGATGCAGAGGACTTTTGAATGAGACAGGGATCTCTGGGGATGGACAAGCCCAACCACTGATAATAGAACCTCTTGTTCTTTGTACCACCAATAATTGGGCCTGTTGTTCTTTGTACCTCATAGATTTCTAGGCTTTAATGTCATGGTGCTTGTTTAGTCTGACCTCCTGTATAACAGACATTCCTTGAATTAGTTTCCACTCTGGGGTCAGCAGTTGTGAATGGAACCAAGCATACATTTCTGGGGGAATGAGAGAAGCAAGGTGGAAGCATCCCATCTTATTTTAAAAATTGCCAATGCTGGATCCTCGTCCATGGCAGTTGGAGAATTTTGTTAATTACCTGCAGTGTTGAAAAATGATATAGTTGTTTCTGGTTTGTTTTCTGTCGAGCTTCAACTTTCAACCTTTGGTCTCGTTATGCCTTTGTCTGGCAGACTAAGGAACACTCTTCTGACAGGTACCTACGGGCTGTGAGGTGCCTTTTAACTTTCTCTTTGATTGACTTCCTTGAGCTCCTTGCTACAAGCCTGGGTTTGTTCTTGTGGTTGTCCTCTGAACTCTCTCCAGTTTTTTCAGCATTATTCTTGAAGTGTGGGTACAAGTATTAAACCTTACACTCCCAGTGGCTGTGCCAGCCCAAGGCCCAAAGATAACAGGGCCTCCCTGCTGGTACGTGACATCCTTCTCTTATGTAGCCAAGTGTCTTGGACCTGCCTTGTGAGCTCACATTGGGGTAATTATGCCTTTTACCTCAGCCAATCCTGTAGGTCTCGTATGTTTAAAAAGTTTCCATGTAGCCATTTCTTTAATATGCCAAGCGTCTCTTTAATCTTTTTGATGTTTATTTTTTTTCTTGGTTTGTATTCTGAAAGGAGTTTTAGTCCAGCCTTTCTCACTGCATCAGCAACATGTCAAAAATCTTTGCACAGCTGAGAGCTGCTAGGAATATATTTTACAGAGCTGGGGGAAGGAAAGTATTTTACAGGTGGGAAATAACACTGTATCTCCAGTGCATGGTGGTGCAGGACAGACATATGCCACGAGCTACAGAGTCCTACAGATATTTTTGACCTCTTCAGGTCTTGATGGATTGCTTTGTCCCATGGAGATGGTTAACCTGCAAGCCCTGTGCCAGTCAAACCTGTCATTGCTGGCTACAGTGTAGCACCAAGCTCCTTGACTTGACCCATGGTTTGGGTCTGTGCTGATGAATTTCCAGATGTTAGAGCGAGCTGACTCTATTTCTAATTGAGGTGGTTTTATTATTGGTTCTATGTTGTTTCTTTTGTATAATGATTCAGAGGAAACAGAGGTGTTGATCTGACAGGGAACCTAGAAAGCTTTCTGATAATAACATCCAGATGTTTCCTTAGCACATCTGCTTAAGCCACTGTTGAAGTTGGTGCCTTCAGCAGTGCTGCTGGTGCGTTTTACTGCCTGCTGCTGTGTGTGTTGCTAATTCATGAGTAATGCAGGAATGGGGAGGAGGGGGAAATTCAACAGCAGAAGCAGAAACAGGGATAACCAGCTGCCAAGGAAGCGTGGGAGAGGAAGGCAATCCAGACTGTAACCCAAATTATTCTTGCTTTTACCATTCAGGTAGGGTGTTTGGAGGTAGTCTTGCATGTAATTGTAAGTACTGTGCCCCAGGTTTGCCTGGTTACAGGTCACTGTGTACCTGTGCTATTGCAGCTCAGCCATGTGGGCAAGACATTTGTCCATCTGAACATTGACTTCAGCTGAGAGCAGGGCATGTTCTCCCTGTGCAGCGACAAATGTATACAAAGATGTTCCTGCCTGTCCCCTTATTCACAGGAAGCTGTTTCACTCCCTGGTTGTGTCTTTGTTTAGCACTTTAACACTGCCTTGCTAATCCCTGTGCCAGGATTGTCAGCATGTGGTGTTCCTGCAGGGAGAGTCAGCTTTGGGACAGCTCAGCTGCCTCATGCCAAGGCTTTGGGCAGCCAGGATACTATTGGAAGTTGTGCTTTTAATGTCACTGTGTCAGCATTGTGCCCTCCCCAAGGGAATATCGCCAGCAGCTGGAGGATAACATTCCATAATTCCATGTGCCCTGAGCCATGCAGTCTCCTTCTAGGCTGCACACTGCAAACCATTGACTTACGGTCACAGCCTTTCTGATATGTACCTGACTCTGGTGTGCACTAGAGCTCCTTCCACCACACTGCTCTTCCTCCCTCTTCCTCGATGACTTCGATGACTTCTGCTGGTGGCTGATTTCCAATGTCACAGAGAGTGTGTCTTCAGAGCAGACCAGTTTGTGGTGCTCACTGGAAAGTACTAACGTGGACACCTGGTGTTGAAAGGTGCTTGGCAGCCACAAGGTCTTTGAAGAAGAAAAGAATCTCATCACCTCACATGAGGGCTATTGTGTCACCTCCCTCCAGGGGTGGTGAGGTGACGTTGGCGGTTGTGCACATTAAAATGGGGGAAGACAGTGGAAGCGTGTGGTTAGGGTGTGGCAAAGCCCTTCCATGAGGAGGAGATGTTGATGTGGTAGGAGCCTGTGAGATGAATGGCCCAAAGGTGCAGATCTCATCTTATTGCTGTCTTTTCCTCTCTAATGTGTGACACAGCACCATGACCTGTCTAAGAATGGGCCATCAAGTGGTTTTGGTTATGTGTCAGGGAGCAGCCTGGCCCAGTGATTCACAGGATGGAGGTGGACATGATGAATAGTGTTGTATAATCCCAGGGGAGCCTGCAGCACCTTGGTTTGAGGTCCTTCAGAGAGTCAGGGTCCTCAAAACAGCACTGCAGGTCTTGGAGCAAGAGAGGCAGCATGGCATATAAATGTTTGTCATGTAAATAGAGAAATCAGCAAGAGAGGGTCAAAGAGATGCATCTCTGGAGCTGTGGATGGTATTGCCTCCTTCATGGCTTGGGCCTTGTTTTCCTATCTTCTTAGCTGAACTTCGCATGCTCCCAGGGAGTGCCTGAGCCATTTGCTTCCTCCACGAGTTATGATCTTGTTCCTTCTGGCAATGAGGTGATCCATCCCACTCGGCTTACCTAGCAAAGGTATGTTTGAGCATCAGTGGATTTGTTTCTCCTGTGCCACATATTGCATCCAAAGGGGGGGTTTCTTCAGCAGCATAGACCAACCCTCCTGCTTCTCATAGAATCATATCATAGAAAGGCCTGGGCTGGAAGGGACCATAGAGATCATCTATTCCAACCCCCCTTCATGGACAGGGACTCTACTTCACTTTGGGTCTCTGTAACTAGGCACATTAATTCTGGGTAGGACCAAACATCCATTGATATAAGAGATCTCTTCTTCTATGAAGATGAATTACAAGTTATTCCCAGCTGCCTCTTAAACCTGAGCTAGTTTCTGTGTCACCTGCCCTGGAAATCCTCCTCAGTTGCTGGGTTGGAGTTACCTTGCAGTTTGTTCCTGATGGGATGAGGCTGCTGGCCTTTTCTTTTGCAGCTCTTCTCATCCAAAGAAACCTTGTAGGGATCTCCGTTGTGTTGATTCTTCATCTCTTCCAAATGTCCCCAGAACGCAGATGAAGGCTGCTTATTTCTTTCTCAGAACCATTACAATGGGCTGCTTGTGTCTGGCCAGTGTCCACTGGAGGAGCTCCTGGACGTCATGGAAGTGTTTAGTTTATATAAAGTACCTAGGTACTGTATTTAAGTTTCTCTCTGTGCACAAAAAATTGCTATTTTTGATAAAATTTAGAATTTAATCTAGATATGATTTTTGGAGTTTTTCCTGCCTCCTCATTGGACCTGTATGTTATACCCAGTGGAGCAATGTCTGCATTAGTATCAATCAACACATGTTGTAGTCAGTTTGCTAGTCTGTGTGAGTCTGTAGTTGAGCACTGAAATTGTTTTAGGGTAGAATTTACATGTAAAGCTAACTATATTGCATTGTGTATTAAAATCCACTTAATTTGATTAAAGTAGCTCAATGTTTCCTTTGTTGGCATTTGAGCTGACTGTGACTTTGTCACTAATACTCCACCATGTTGCAGTTGAATGCACCCTCAGGAGACAGGCAGCTTCAGTAATCCTTCTTTCTGGAAAAAGTATAGTAAAAATTTGGAGAGGGTTAGGGTTACTGGATTAGGGTTAGGGTTACTGGATTAGGGTTACTGGCTACTAAGAGTACATCTGAACTTTCTGACTGTGTTTGCATTTTGGTTTTGAATTTGTATTTGAAAGGACTCTTTGTTTCTAATGGAGGTTATAATGCGAAGCGTAAAAGTTTATGACACCAAAGGGAAATTTTCCAACTGTTGAAACAAAATGCTTCAAATCAAAATGAGTTTCAGTTTACCAACCTTAAAAATTTCAAGGTTTTTATGTTTTTTCCCACTTATTCTGAATAGTAAAAAGAATAATTAAGATCTTGAAACCCTGCAAGATGATAGAATTATCATCATGATAGAATTAGATTTTTCAGGTTTCTTTGACATCCCTTGTTTGTCTCTGTTTGAGTAGTACCTTCTGTTGGTGGAATCTTCAGGCAAGAGCAACATGTTCTTCTGTCAGTATTGCAAGGTTGAAGTGTCTTTTGAAGGGTAAACCAGACATCACTCTTTTGATGCTAATAGAAATCATGCATAAAATCTGGAACTTTGTCAATCTGTCCTGATCCAGATGTAAACTGTGTTTTCTTTATAGGTGTATCCACTCTTTTGATGATGAAGATTGATGAGCTGCAATTTGACTTGGATTACAATATTTCAGAAGACTTTCTGAACTTACCAGGCAACCCTCCCTCTAGACTTCGGGGACAGTGGAGCTTAAGTTTATGTCTCCAGTATCACACAGGAGAAAGAGCGTTACTTGGTTGCTTTGCACAAGTAATGAAAATCAATGCTGTGTTGCCATTGGGAGGAATGCTCAAAAGGAGAAAAACCTGATATATAGATCTTGTTTTAGAGACAGATTTTGTCTGTAAAGAGGGTGCTTAAGGGAAGATACAGGAAGAAAGAGGAGAGGTGATGCTACAAGCCAGCTTCCTGACTTCCAGAGTGGGACTGAAGCTTCATAATAAGGTAAAAAAAAGAAACACCATCAAACCAAACAAACATTTTCTTTCCTTCCTGCTTCACTCAAATATCCATCAGACAAGAAACAGGATGAGTCTATGCATTGATTAGAGTAGTTTCTCTTACTGCCCCCATTCCCTCTCCTGTTCTGCTTCCCATTTCCTGTGCCCTGCAATCACCCACGCCTTGAGCAGGCTTCAGGTAAAAATCATCAGCAAATGTCTACTGTCATAGTTGTCCACGTACCTAAGACTTAAAATTTCAAGTATTTTTGCTTACACACACACACACACTAAATATGTCACTTCTGGAGGATGCTTTGTGCCTTTGCTTTATGCCTGAGGAATTTGTTGCTTTGTTGTTAGAAGTGAGGATGACAGGTCCCTCACACTCATCTGCACTGTTTGCAGCTCCAGCTCCAGTACATGACAGTGATATATTTTCCAAATTGGTGAGATACAGAGCAAGCTGAAATGTATGGGCTTATCATGTTGTTTTGTCCAAAGCCACAAGAGGAGGAAGGCAGGAGGTGGAAAATAATAGAGTAAAATTATCTGGTTTCAATTTACTACCTTTGGAGAACTGAAAAACGTTGGCTGCTGAAAAGAAAGTTGAAGCTTGATTTATTTTTTATCTTCTTTCCTGCTGCAAATGTTTTTCCTCATAAAGATGCATGACTCCTCACATGTTGGGCACTGGGCTCTGGAGTGCTGGAAGCATTCTTTGGAGGAGAAGGCTGGCCAGATTGACAGAGGGATGTCAAGCTTGGTTTATTCTAGCAATACAACTCCACAGGCATGAGGGACACGTGGCTTTCCTCTGCTGTACTTTGTGCAGTCCGTGGTTCATGTGAGGGCTGTGTGACCATGAGAGTGGAAAGGGTTCATCAGTTCATCAGACTCTTCCTCTGAGGTTGGTACATGTGATGTTGCCATGGAGGCCAAGTCAGTGTCCACATGGGGACCTTTACATGACAGCATTCCCTAATAAATTTGGCAAAGATGAAAAATGCTGAGTTGAACTCCAGTGAGAAGAAAATACCCTCATTTTCTCAGATCAGGGGTTTCCTGGCTCCCCCTCACCCTCACATCTCAGCACTGAGCTGAAAGGACTGTCATTTAGTATTAGAAGTTTTTAACCTCTGTGACTCATTCAGTTGTTGGTTTAACTGCTGATATTTCCAGTGAGAATACCAGTGACAAGGGTAGATATGGTGATGGGAAGATACCACTGTCCAGGAAGCAGTGATGATTTCACATCAATGAAGAGACTATCTATGACCAAGGGTGTAGCTGCTGCATTTTTAAGCAGGTTTGAATCAGAGTCTGGATCTGGCCCAGTTTCTTGGAAGAACCAAATTAAAATATTTACAGGTTAATCATAAATTTCTGTTTCAGAATAGATGTTTAGATGTTAATCTTAAATTTGAGAGTGAAATTACCCATTAAAAGGTTATGGTGAGGGAGCGTGTGATACACATTGAATGTCAGCTGCCCTGTTGAAGATGTGAGGGAGTAGAAGTGGCTGTACAGAGTGAGACCATTTGGTTTGATATCTCCCTTGATGACAACCAAGAGAGGAAAGAATATAAGAAAGAGCTCTCTAGGGATGAGTCTTCCTCAACAGATCCTTCCAGCAACCAGTGTTTAAATGTGCTAAGTGCTTCTTTAGAGTGTCCTTTAGTTGTCCCAGTGGATCAGATGCTCCTCTCATACTCAGGTTACGGAGTTCATTACTCTAAGCAACCTAAGCCATGTAGTGTCTGGCCCAATATCATGTTTATATGGATTAGCCCAGGTCACCTAAATCAGAGGTTCTAAGTTGGACTTAGCTGGTGGACATCACAGCACCTGGTGGGCTGATGGTCCTGCCCTAATGTCCAGGGCTCATCTCAGGAGATTGGAGTTCACCTCTGTAATTATGTCATTTAACCCCTCCGCTTCCTCCCCTGGAAAGCATCTACTGGCACTTCATACAGAGCACCAGTCACATAGGTGGGTGTGAATTCCTGTGTAACAAGTAGGATTTAATGAGAAGAGCAGACCTCAGAAAATCCTATGAAGCCCAGTCTTCAATTAGTTGTGTAGAATATTGTCTCCTTGGTGGCTTGGTGCTTGAAGGAGAGAGATACAACCCCTTGTGTATCTCGCAGGAGCCTCTTCCAGGTCTCCAAAGAAGAATGGAGTGTAATTTGGCACTTATTATTTCATTGCATCAGCTTTTCTGGGTCTGGGAGTGCTCTTAGCACAAGCAAATAAATTACTCGTCTCATTTTGCTGCATGCTCTGCAGCCAGCCATATGTTTGAGCCTGATAGAGATTCTTATCTCATGGGCTAAAATTACTCAATGGAGGATGACATTTCTTATCAAGGGCTTTGCTGAATCAGAGAGTGGCCCTGGCACCCAGCTCTGAGACACCACTGCTCTTTGTCCACCCTCCTAGCCCAGCGATAAATGGATTTGTGTCTGTAGGTCAGAGGCGCTTGTGTCAAGGTTTTGTTGCAGATCGAGCCTCTGAGGATTGTCTGTGTGCCTGGGAGGACATGGGATTGAGAAGGAGAAAGCAAGACTCTTCATTTGATTAAAACAGAGGGTCTTAGAGCTGTTCAAATGCATCTTCGCTTGGAAGGTCCTTGTATGCATGGCTAATAACTTCAGACTTCACATCCAGGGACCCTCTTCTCCACTGTGCGAAGGCTTTGCTTCCAGTTACATGGCGTGAAAAGGCATCCTCTCCTACTGACAGCAATACCTTCTCTCCAGACTTACAGCTTACATCTCTCCATTCTCCCACCTCTTTAATGGGGCAGGTTAATTTCCTTCCTCTCTTTCCCTTTCTCTCTTTGAAGTTTATCTGGTAGCTACTGATGATTCGAGGAGTTGTCTGGGTTTTTAGCAGGTAGGAGAGAGACAAACAACCGCTCCTCCTTACGGGTTCTTCCCTTTGCATTCTCTTTTCCTCTTAGTGCAGAATTTACAGCATGAGATGTTCAGCTTCTGCAATGTATCTGGGCAAAGCTCTTGATGGAGAGTGGAGTGACCTCTTGATGAATTGTCCTTTCCTCTAGCTGAGCACTGTCCACAAAGGCAGGTTTGTTCCTAGGAGCCCTCCTGGACAGGAAGCAAGACTAGCCACCCACCCACTCAGCCACCCAAGCATGGTCAAACTCTCTGTAGGAGGTTCCTGGGAAAGGCAGCTGTGAATTAACATGTTTTCTCCCTGCAAAATGGTGTCTTCCACAGGTCAATACTCATGTAGTGTTGTACTAAGAGCAGGGTAATTTTCTCAGATCAAAATAAATCTAGTTAAATGCTGTCTTTGACAGAGAGAGACTGAATGTGCACTGTGGATTTCTTCTGCTTAATAGTCTTTTGTGGTTTTCATTTTTTTCTGTGACTGGAGCAAGGCACTTCACTCCCCCTTTAATTACAAGTATCCTTAAGCTGGCCTGTGGCAGCCACGTAATGCACAACAGGAGGTCTAGTCCCAGGTGTCCAGCAAAACTCATTCTTTAGGTCAGTATGAGGGTCATAACTGCGCCCAGTACAGTAAGGACATTGTGGCTGAAGGTCCCGCTTGCCAGCGCAAACCTTGCATGCTCTTGGGAGCATGGGACAGGCCTTTGAGTGATGCTACCCAAAGAAGGCCACTTCATTTCTAAGACTCAAACCACCATCACTGCTTTCTGCAGTGCCCCATGAGATGCCCAGAGATAACAGCCCTCTGTGGTGTGGCAGTGGGCCAAGGCTGTGCTCTGACTGACTCCTTGGGGTGGCTCTTCTGCCATCTGCAGAAGCCGTCCTCGTTGTCAGCCTGCAAGAAATTCTGGGGCTGATGGGTGCAGCATCCCCAGGGTGCCCCATCCCCAGGGTGGGGTGGCAGGGGTCAGAGAGTGGGATACTGCCACCCTTCTCGTGGGTGGCACCACCCTGAGGATGTGCAGCCACCTTCCTCCTTTTGAAACAGCATCCACAGCCTGACTGAGTTTTTTCCATGTCCTTCCTCCTACTTTCTGATGGTGCGGCCCACACCCATCACAGCTTGCAGCATGGGGGTCCCAGGCACCTCCAGGTGCCATCACATGTGGCTGGGTCTTCCTTCCTTCAGACGTTTTCTCTTCACCATTTTCCTCCCTGAATCGTGCTGAGTCACCCTGACCTCACAAGAGCAACTTCAGGCCCTGCCCATCAGCCCCTGGCCCTGTGCCACCGGTTGAGCAACCAGTGCCCTGAGGTCATGCTGGGATGGAGGTCTCCAGGGCGGTGGATGACCAGCTGGCCCTTGGGTTCCACTCGCCAGCTGTGTCCGCATGCCATTGCACCACAGTCACGTTTTTCCACGTTACCTGGTTCCTGCTGAGGTGGCTGTTTATCACCTGTTGCCTTTGGATGCAGTGCTGTCCCATCCTGTGAGAACAGGTCGTTGCCTCAGCAGGAGATTGGGAAGGTTCCGGAAAAGTGCTGTGCTCAGGGCTAGTGGCCATCTGATGTGACCAGCTGGCATATCCATGTAAGTCCCAGCTGAGTCAGCCTGGTTTGTCCTGCCAGGTGCCTACTTTTCATCCTGTTGCAGGATCATGTTTGATTTGTTAAAAGAAAGAGGAGAATGGTTTCCCTCCAGCTACCAGCTGCATGCTCTGTCTGTCCATTGTCTCAGGCTGTGACTTCTGAATTGCTGCACATAACCTTGGCTGAACTGCACTCGGGCAGCGTACCCACAGCGTGCGCCTCACATTCTTGCAGAGTGCACCCCACATCCCACAGTGTGCACCCTATTTGTGCACAGCATGCAACCTGCACACCCATACTAAGCGTCTACATCCCCATGTTTTGCATCCCACGCACCCATGACATCATGGCATGTAGCCCACCTACCCAAACAAGTACCCAGCACAACCACAGCATGCACACCACAAGCATGTCGAGGTTATGTGCAGGGTGGCAGTGCTTGAACAAGCAGATGAGCTTGTTCACTCTCATTTTAAACAAGCCAGAATACATCTGT